GCAAAATTAATATAATCAATAATGTAAATGTTTAGATAAAAAAGAAAGTATAATATTAATATATGGATATGCTTTTCATCACAAATGTTTTATAGAATAAATATAAGTATAGTTATTGTTTAAAATACTATAAAAATGATGTTATTTTTAATATAAACTCATATATAAAAGATTAGAAAGAGATGAAAATATTAAAATAGTTTATTAAATGATAAAATATTAGATAATGAAAATAAAGAAAAGAAAGAAAGAAGAAGAAAATAAAGTAATAGAAAAAAAAATATTGGTAGATTTTAAAAATGCTTTAGAATTTATAAAAACTTAGTAAATATTTTAATATTCATATAATGCATTAAACGTCAGTTCTTATCTATGTTATAATAGAGATTTTTCAGTTCTTTTTTTATCCAAATGTAAAAAAGAAAAATGATATATTAATGAAAAAACTGCAAATAGAAAAATTAGTTTTTGAAAAATATCTCATCTTTTTTATTACTTTAAATCGATTGATATTAAATGTTATACAATAAAAAAAAGATCACCTCATAATATAATGAATATTCATTATATTGGTGCAAATTTTTATAAAAAAGCATCAAGAATCAAATGCACTATTATGAGTCAGTAAGCAACAATGATCTAAAAATAACTAAAGAGTAAGTAACATATAATATTAATTTTTTTAACCTTATAATAATTACTAATACTATTTTCTCTTTTCTCCTACAAAATTGCATTGGTAATTTCTATCTTTTTTATTACATCTATTATGTATTATGCAAATCGAGAGTTAAAGTCTTATTAAAAATTACTATGCTTTATCTCTCAACTTCAATATTGTATTTGCATAATTATAATGCTTGTTTATTTATATTTAAAATATTTGTCTTTAAATCGAGTTACGAACATAGTAAATCACATGAACATAACGTGATTGTAATAGCATGTTATTTATTAAAATTAAAATTATTACACAATATTAATATTTTAATAAAATTTCGTTTATTATAGAATTTTATCAAAGAAAATCAAAAATAAAATACTTTGACTGACATTTATATAAATTAAATTTCGTCCAACAAAAAAAAGTACAATCAAATAAAATTTATTTTGATTAATGTTAGTTGTCTTGACGAAATTAATTTTTCGTAAATTTAGTCAACTTATAGAATACTACATATATGCTTTTTCCATACATGTATGGAAATAATTATATGGAATAAAAACACTACGTTCCATACATAGAAAACTATTCCATACGTGATTGATTGCTATATACCCCATGAAAATTTAAACCAATATAAACGAGAAATAACATTTTTCGAGTAAGTTTTGAGCACTGTGTGTAACTAAAGGGGATAATCATTCTTTATAATTTATTAGTATAATAACCATACATACCCAACCTGGTTTATCAGATGAACGCGTTAAATTTGCTACAAATTTGATATTAAAGAGTTATTTTGCTCAAAAGGAAATTATCATTTTAAATTCTAATTATATTTATCCGGCACTTCGAGCCGAATAACTACAAGGTTGCTGATAATATTAGGAATCAAATTTGATTTTCCCAATATAATAGTTATTCGGCACGAAGTTCCGAAAAAACTATTAATTATTTATATAGGAATCTAATAGTCTAAAGTATTAATAACATTCTTTAGTTATTATTTAAATTCTATAAAATTATGTGCGCACTATACTTTTAATACAAAGTTTTTTTATAAAAAAAAAAAAAATATCTCTTTGAATCTGTCTAAAATTTCTCGAACAATGAAGCTTTTTCATCAGTAATAATTCCTAATTTTTTTTCTTCAATGAACTCTTTCCATCACTTCCATCACGTGATTCATCAAACTGGATAAATGGTAACATGTTAAAAATCCATTTAAGAGTGGGCTTTTTACCTAATAATTTTGCTCTGTCATAAGTATTGCAGGTTAACTACCTTGGAATACATAAATTCAACCTCTTGCTGGAATTTGTTATCATATACTTTACCAGATTTTATCATAACAAATTAATAGAACGGGAAACCAATTGCCAAATCCTTTTAGCGGTTTATTTTCAACTACACTATATAATATACAAAACATCATTGGTATTTCGTCAAATCATTGTAATGAGAATAATAACGTTCCATGAAATAATATAGATCCTATTCCAATAACTACGATCCTAAGAAGGGATGACAGATTTAAGGTTAGCGAGATAGCGAAAAATGAAGAAAAAATTCAATGAAGATGTCATTCACCAATTTGAAGGATGCATAAAAAGATTATTGGTAAACACTATAGGATAACGTAATTTAAAAACTTTATAGTGTATCATTCATTACACCGAACATACCAGCACAAACCATATAAAATGATGATATTGTGTTAAAAAATTCGGCTATGTAGTAACATCATAATACTTTTCACACCAATCTATTAAGATTTCCAGGAATTAATTTACTAATTAGCGAAATTCATATGAAATGAGAAAGGAGAAAGTCTACTTACCGACTATTTTATATATTTATTTATTTTAAAAGGAATCATTTGTGCCTGTCGAAGTCGGTTGACCCCAAAATCCTTCTATGTAATGATTGATTGAATCCATAAAAACAAGGTAAATTTATTATTATGTATTGCTAATAAGTTACCTTTTAATAAAACTTTCCAAGTGAAAACTTTTGATCCTTCTTTTCATCTTAAGAAACAAAGGGTATTTATAAGTAATCGTAATTATGAAAGATCAAATTAATTAGTTTAAATAATTATGTTGTGTATAAAGTAATAAAAAAAAATTCAATCCATGCCGGTACTCTTTCTTTATTGTTTTTTATAATTTATCTGTTTATTTATTGTAATAAATATTTGTCAAATGATTTGATCTTAAAATTATATTATACATGTGTGAATAAATATTATTTTTCTAAAATGTATCGACATGTGTGACATCAATCAATCACGAATTAAATGGGATTCCTTTTTTTCTGTTTATTTTTTCGTTTGACTACACCAAAACATCCTTTGATGTCATCTAACTTCTTCATGTTTTTTTAAAAAAAAAACAAATAAACAATGGATAAAAAATATTTATGATATCTACGGCAGGTAAAATGGCATGTTTTTAATAGTTCGATGCAGATGATTCGTTTTTTTTTTGATCTCCAATGTGTAGATTGAAAACTTCTAAATCAAGTAAGATAATGAAAATTGAATATCAAATGATTCTGAGAATGTCAAATTTGAAGTTAAAGGTTCTACTTGGTCCGTGTTCATGTTGTTTAACCTCGTACTCGAATTTTCCTAAATATAATTTATCTGCGGCATATTATTTTATTTTCAGTTTTATCTTGAAATTATTATTTTTCTTGCATATTTTTCGTAAAAAAATTCCATCTTTAAATAGTTTTGATGGAAAATAAGGACAAAGTCCCAAACCTCCTGGCAATGTAAGTGTAAGTTTTAAAAAAAAAATATTTTTAAAATTCATTTGCGAAATGTCCACACTAGTTTATATAAAAAAAAATAAAAATAAAAATAAAAAAAGGACCATAGTCAAAAATTTTTCATACTTATATGTGTTGAATATAAATATTAAACTTCAAATAAAATTTATTTAAATCATTATAAAGTTTTATTTAAAAAAAGAAGTTCACTTTACAATAATTATATGAGCATTATAAAGAAAAATATTTTCAAGTGATTTTTTTTTATTTTAGAAAAAATTCATTTTTATGTAATTATTATTTAGTATAAAAATTTAAGGTTTTATTAAATTCACGGCATGGATTGGAAATTTTTACAAAACGAATGACTACTTGATTTACTCAAAATTTGTCATTAAAATATTCCAATTTTCAATTCTAAAAAATTCCGTACATTAAAAATTCATTAATTTGTTTTTAAAAAAAAATATCCTTAGCACATTAATTAGTTGGTCCATCCCACCAATCCCACCAATACCTCAATGGTTATTTATTTATTTTTATTGACAAAAAGTTTGAAATGATTATAATTTTTTTATAACGTGACGTGATGATCTCAAATGACCAATATCATTCCTATTTGGAATATCCGAAATGACATTTCGGATTTGTGAGTACAACCGTGCCATTTTGCTTAGATAGTTGCGAAGATCAGATCATTTTAAAGAAAGAAACTTTCTTTCAGATGTTTTAATCATGTAATTCTATCACATTTTCTACTACCTTCAATGTTTACAGCCGGCTAGAACCGTTTAAAAATAATGAAAAGAAAAAGCAAATTTCCAAAAAAAAAAAAAAAAAAAAAATAAGGAAAATTCGATGCTTTTTAGTCCAAAGCAATCGATTATTTATTCATTGCTAAAAGTTCCAAGATATAAAAAAAAAGAAAAATCTAGTTTTCATCTTTTTTAATTAGATTTAAATTAGATGCAATATTTTTAAAAATTCCTTTTTTTAATTACGTAAGCAAAAAAAGATATATTTTTGTGTTGAAAACTTTTATTTGCCAATAAACTTTAGACATTACAGTAAAATAGCTTCTCACATGCATGCAATGCATGTATAATTTAGTGTTTAACCAAATCGGAAAGGTAGCTAGCTATTTTTGATGTCAAATAATTACTTAACACTATCAATACTAAGAATTTATATTGGAAAATAAAATCCTGTTCATCGGCGTAAAAGGGTCAATTATTCATAATATTATATTATCTTCACATTCCCAAATATGTCAGTCAATACCATGAATATTCCACCTTTATTTTTATTTATAAAAGGTGTTGAAAAATTTTCTTTTTTCCAAATTTTATTTTGAAAAATTGCGCATAAAAATCATTTTATTACGATTGATAAACCCCTCAACAGAATGAAATATACGAGACTCATAAAATCTCTCCAACTCATGATATTTATGTGCCTCGTGTGGCTGATCACAACTAACCTATTCCGGATAGACGTAGGAAAAATTGGAATAAGCGTAAAATCAAAATTTGATTCTTCAACTCTCGTGAATTCACTTGAAATGGACGCCAAAATAAATCAAAAATACTGCGGGTCCAACCAATGTAAATTTCTATTTGCTTATCATGTACCGGAACAAGAAACTTCGGCTAATGCACATTTCTTTACATTTATACAATTGGCGGAAATGCTAAACCGTACGATCGTATTAGTTAATGTACAACATTCAAGGTTGGAATCCTGTAGAAAATTTCCATTCAATTTTTATTACAACGTAGACGCAATCATGAAAATGTTTCCAAATGTTAAATTTATTACGCAGCAATCTTTCCTTGATTGGACGCGAGAACGTGATAAGAGACCAACGGCAACTCATAGATATATCAAGATAGATAAAAATCTAAAATCAGACCATTTAAAATTAAAAGTAGAATGCTTAAATCAATTTAATTTCAAATTTAATCGTAAAGATGATTTAATAATTAATAAAACAACATTTAATATTGGATCAAAATATGCTTGGAAAGAAAGAAATAATAATAGGTTAATGATCAAAAATTTAACGAGATCATTTAATTTAGATGACGAAGTTTTATTAATCAGACATCAGATTCCCACACCCTTGTTTCCATCAAAGGGCCAAGTTATACCTTTACCTTATGCTAACCATCTCATTGAAGCGGCAAACAATGCCACCAATCAATTAAAACCTTTTATAGCAATTCATTGGAGAATGGAAACCAGTAAACCGGAAATGATGCCGATTTGTGTTAAAAGTTTAATCAAATACATCAACAAATTGCAGAAGAATATTGGTATTTATAAAATATATTTAGCGACAGATTATCCGTTAGTGAATGCAAAAGCTCAATCATCAACATTTCATATCATATCTGAACAACATCATGATGCGATTAAATTATTAAACAGCACATTTACTTTAAATACTTGGGTATCAATGAAAACATTGGATGTCCTTATTAATAAATTTCCCGAATATAAAAAAGAAATTAATGAAGAATTTAGAGGTTCTGGATTACAAGGGATATTTGATAAATTAGTTATGTCGAATTCGAGTTATTTTATTTCTGGACCTAAAGGTTGTGGTTATATAACATCGAAATTTTCAAAAAAAATTAGTGAAATAAGAAGATTAATGCAAAGTAAAGACAAAAATATTTTGAATGACATTACACGTTGGCCTTTAGATAAAGATTAAATTTCGCGATAACACTATAATTTCAAATTTTCATTTTACCTGAATCGGATAAGCTAAAATATAAAAGGAAAATCCATAAAAGTAATTTGTAAATAAATAATTTAAATAAGCCGGGCTGTGATTTTTCTAATATTACACATTAAAAAAAATTTCCGCCCCATAAAGAGATAAGCCTCCTCACGTGATAATTTTAATTAGTCTAAAACTCATCATTTCCCGTTTATTGGTTTGGTTATCTCTCCTAAAATAACCGGTTGTGATTATTCGCTTATTTTCAGGTAGATGATCTGTCCTGACTTGGTATTTTAATTACAAAAAAATGATTTTGCATAAAATAAATTTTTTTTTTTTGTACAAATAAAATAAATTATTGAATTTTTATATGTAATACCACCAAAATGCTATTGTTATAGAACAGGATTTAAATTTTTGTGACGTTCATTAATAGTTTTGACACAACTACCAAAGTTTTAGGAAAATTAATTTCGCAATGTCAGTGCAATTCTAGATTTTACATATCTTGCAAACTCTTGTGCAAATGTAACGCAACACTCATAATTTTATATGATTTCGTACGATAGATAATTTATTCGAATGATAATATCGTATAACAAATGTAAAGAAGTAATAAAAATATTTAAAAGAAAATATTACTATTACCGCCTCCGCCGACGATCTAAATATGCCTTGAGGGAAATTAATAAAGTAGAAAACACAATATTATTTACTGTAGTTGTTACTGTATTTTGATATTATGAGGCAGCTACCACTCTTTCTTACCAATTAACAACCTGGTCCCATGAGAGTCATAAGTTAATCAAGAAATTCATGAAGTGAGCATGCACTGGCCTAAATAAATTACCGGAATTTATACTATTTATACTATATAGAAATTATTTATTAATAATTGACAAAAAATTTTTATCAAAAATAAAAGCATTATATTTACATTTTTATTACTTAAAATTTAAACATTATCAGACTAATATTTAGTATGTCAAACCCTTAGCTTTAATACTGCATTGACATTTTAGATAAGCTTAAAATTAAGTAAGTTTCTAAGTTAATTTTTTTCTATTCCTCTTTCACACCATCTATTAACTCTTGTTTTGATTTAGGTAAAGGCTTTCTTTTTTGGACCTGATAGTATTGTTTAAATAGTTAGTTTCGATCAGGTTTAAATCTGGACTTTGCGTCACACAATCTAAAACTGGAATATTATCCCCTGACAGGGAGTTGAAATACAGAACCAGGATATTTACGAGTATAGGGAAAACCGGTACGGTACGGTTCGGCTGATCAGTTCGCAGATCAGTACGAATTTTCAAATTATAATCGTCCCGTACTGATTCTGGGTATTAGACAAACATGTATAGTATAGTTTTGAATGTATGTATAGATTAGTTCTTTTTTTTTAGTATGTATGATATGTATATCCTAAAAACCATACATGTATTGTTTTTCATAAGAAATATTCTATACTTGTATGGTTTCTAATGGTTTCTAATACTATACGTGTATAAATAAAAAACCATACTATACATACATTCAAAACTATACTATACAGGTTTACTATATACCCACTGATTCTATAATATTATTGGGACCGATCATATTTTGTACCGTACTGATCAGACGATTCGTACTGATTTTCCTCCCTCGATTTATTTAATTTTTATTAAGTGAATTTTTTTTTTTTTTGAAAAAAAATTTTTTTTTTTTATAAAGAACGCTTTGACGAATGCAACATTAATCATTATTAATATCATTGAAATCATTAACATAGTGCATATATAGAAAATCGGTGTATATAGAAAACTGGTACGGTCGGTTAATAGAAAGTATCGTACCGTACCATACTGATCAGCCGAACCGTACCGTATCGGTTTTCCTCCTCCCTGATAATTACTAACCCATAGTATAAAACAATTAGCAAATATTGATATAATTATCAGAACCTTTTACTATAACCGGAGGTCCAACTACATAATAACCAAAACAACTCCAAAACATTACTGATCCCTACCAAATTTAACTATATACTTCTCTAGGATTCCTCCAAACTTTTATACAATCATCAAATTCAAAAAGAGTAAATCTAGATTCTCTTTTCATTTATGTTTTTCTTTGCCTTATTGAAATATATGTTTTCATTATTTTTAGTTAAATAAGGTTTTAACACCTTTACCATAAAATATTTCTAATTGAATTACAGTCAGGGAATTTACCAAATATATTGTGACGATCATTTCCTAATATAGTATAAGATTTGCCGATCAGAATATTCTAGATTTATTTCAATCAAAAAAAATGATTGATAAAAATTAAAAAATTTTTTTATTTTATTTCTGAATTTTCAATTATCAATACAATTATACTGCTAAAAAAAAAAATATTTATTTGATTCCTAATAGTTTGTCCAATTTATTCAGTATTGGAGAAAGAATTCTTGAATAAAATTTTTCCTATAAAAAATTTTCACTCTAAACAATCCTGATTGTTAAAGTTATTGTCTGAGTCGAATGCAAGCTTTATCTCTTGTAATATGCATAACAAATTATTTCGTCTTTTTGACTTCAATCCAGAATATTTTTTTCGAACGTTTTCACCAAGCTGTTCAAGAAGACTTTCTATCTTTAGCAAAATTTCAGATTTAGTCATATTTTTTTCACTTTCTTGAGCATCCACTTCTTTTTTCAAAACCAGTATTAGTCTAAATAATGGAGAATCATTTTAGTTAATAAATACTTCGGTAATGAAATTTTATCGAGCTTGTTTTGCTAAATAAGTAAAATTTATTGAATTTTCATTCAATCCATATTCTTCTAAGCTTCAATTCACTAATTCAAAACTTCAGAGATAAGTTCGAAATCTTTGGCATTCCATAATAGATACTGGCTAACTTCTTGGTCTATAAGTTTGATAATCATTATACCCAATTACTTTGAGTAAGTTATTTCTAAGCTATAATTTATTATAAAATTAGTATGTAATATTTAATAATATTTAATAATTTAATTGAAATAAAAGTTATCAAGGAATTTTTTACAATTACACGTGACAATTTTCCAATAATGATATTGTAAGACAGGAGAAATTAAAGTCTTCAAGGTCTTGTTTACCTCCTCTATAATTACATCGAGTCCCTGATGCTATTCGTAGATACCTGATCTAGAGGCAACGCAGTTTTTCTCTATCATCTCAAGCACTTTTGACTGAAGTCGCATCATCTGAATCACATCTGTAACTTCTATTAGGCAGTAGATAGGGTGGTATCTCATAAACCAAATAGGAGAGAATACTTGTTTAGCAGCTCTTTTTAATAAAGGATCATTAGTTCTTATAGCCTTTTGATAATTGATTATTGCTTGAAGGTAAACAAATGTCTATTGTAATAAAAATCAATATTATTATTTAAAAAGCTTTATAAAAAATAAAAATAAAATAATAACCTATGACCTGTTCGTATTTGAACTGATAAGTGAATCTTGTTTTTTGATCCAAGTAAAATATCTTTTGATCGATAAGTCAGAGTTGCTTTTTATGTATGACCATATAAGTTCCATAGAGATTATCTGACGGTAGGTTCCTCAAAATTGAATCAAATCAAGTATTTAAGCAATTTAAATTTGATTTGATTTTTTCAAATTAAATCAAATCGAACTAAATTGAACTCAAATATTTGATCAAATCAATTTGAATCAAATCAAATCAAATCAAATCAATTGAATTGAATCAAATCAAATATAATTTTTTTTTTAATTTTTACAATAATATGGGTTCATTGCCAGCAAAATCACATTTTGAGACCCATCCAATGAAAATTAAGATTATAATTTCATTTCAATATGTTACCATTTGGCTAAAAAATTATATAATATAATCATAATACCAAGATGAGCAATTGAACTTTAACTTTTATTAATGAAAATTCTATAAATAGTTTAAAATATATATTTTGATTATTCTGCAGTAAGTTTATAAATAAAGAAAAAAATAATAGTTTCTGTTTATTTTTTTAAATATCTTTTTTTTGTTCCTATTTTTTTTGATCGCTAACATAATGAAATCACCTGTTACTTTTTTTTTTTGATCGAATAGTTTTAACAGCATGAATACTACCATTATACATTAAGGTAGAAGTGCTTTTTCTCAAACATTTGCCAATGCTAAAGCATTAAACTTTTTTCCATTTTTTCCATTTTTTTGTTCATTATTTTTTTTAATCTTTTTAATTTATTCTTATTTTCTTTTTCTTCTCCATATATTCGTTCTTTCTTCCTTTCTTTTTTTTCTTCCTCTTTTTTTTTTCTTATTATTTGTTTTCCTTTTTGAGTTTTTTTTTAAATGATAATACTATTAGTTCTTCATTAAACTTATAATATTAACTGCCATTAATTAGTATCATCAATGACTATACTACGTTTCCTTTCTCCATTCGATCAAATTGATTCAAAGAATGAGGTTCTGATAGAATTTTTTTTTATTCTTTTCTTGTTTCACTTTTTTTTATTTTTTTATTTTTGTTCTTTTTTTATTTTCTATCTCCTTCTTTTTGTATCTTCTCTTTTTTTTCTTTTCATTTACTTTTCTCCTTATTATTAATTTTTGTTTTTTACTATTTTCTGTAACTTGTTTTCCTATTTTAACATATGCTTCTTTTAGTTTAACACTTAGATGTATAAAAACCAAAAATGCAAATGGTAAGCCCTTTTCTATCTCGTTCATATATTGTGGCAAATTTTCCATTAGAAAAGAAGACATTACAGTGTAAAGTTTTATTCAATTGGTATTTCTAACTAATTATTTTGACTTTCCAACCAAGTTCCAAAGCGTTTTTTATACAATTCTAAAAGCCTCTTTTGTTATATTCAGTATTATTTCCATTTTTACTAGCAAGAACCAAAGTAGATAGCGCTTAAGTTTCTAGCAAATTTTATAGATCTTGAGTTGGAGAAATTCATCGATACATTGTTCATTTTGATTAATACGTTGTAAAA